AGGAATGAAACACTGTGAAACAGGCTTCTCTGAAGTTTTTAGTCATGCAGGATGTCAGTCTATTTATAGCAACATCTGTAGCTTGGGAGACCTTTGATTACTTCATTTCAGAGTACATATATCTCTTCATCTGATCTGTCTCCCGTACTCAGTGTAATGATCCCCGTTGCACTGCATTTATTCAGCACATAGTTCCTATTTTCCAGAGACAAGCAACAGCATAAATTCATTTATCACAAGTGGTGTGATTAAAATAAATGCAAAGCCAGATGTTGAAGGTTATTCAGGGATAACCTGTGTAGAAGGAGGGAGAAAGCAAGTGCTGAGCCTGGCCCCAGTGTGTCAGACTGCCCACCATGACTGAACAATCCTGACCAGGCAGGATCTGTTTCTCCAGTCAAAGCTAAAGAGTCGTGTGGATGGGGGGCTCTGTAGCTCACATGGGGTGTGACAGCCAGCAGCCTCAGCACTGGTCTTGGTGTGACACTGAATTTTGCTGCCTTATACTGAAACTTCTCTTATTTGTATTTTCTCCCATCCTAAAGCTATTTGAAACTTTTTTTTCTGCCAAAACAGATATGTATTATACATGACACACAGCACAAAGCACTTTCTTTTTAATTTTCAGGGAGTCTGTTAGTGCCAAAACATAAAATGCTTAAGAAGGAGGATGAAAACTGGGGTAAGTGATATTTGGCAGGATCCACATGTTCCATTTGTTTGTGCAACAATCTCTGTGCTGACTTACAGCTTCAGAGGCAGCTGTGTAAATACAGAGCTGTGATGGCTGAGGGAGCCAAGAGACAAGCTGTGGAAAAAAACCCGATAAAACCAGACGTGTTCTGGATGCCACAGGGTAAGGCAGAGCTGAGCTATGCCACAAACATCTTACTTTGATGCTACAATACCTTCAGTACCCTTTTTTGGAACACCTTCCCTGTTACTGCTGGGGTGTGTGTTGTGGTTTGGTTTCTTGTTTGCCTTTTTTTTTTTTAAGGACTTGAAATAAAAGTGTCATTATGAAAGAGATTCAAACCATTCCTGAAAACATTAAGACCTTCTGATGCAGTCTGCCAAACCCTGCTTTGCCAACTGACCTTTGTGCTCCTGAGCACAAGGGCCAGGAAGCCTTGAAGGTATCAGCTTGTGGTGTTTGCTGGCTTCTTACAAGTTGGATTTACTCATTTGTTTTGTGAAGCACTCCTAGGAACTGAAAACTTATGCATTTAATAAGTGCTGGAGCTGTTGCTACCCAGTCCCTGTGGGAGCTGACCTTCCCCAGATAAGGCCAGCACAAGCATTTTCTTACAAGGCTGATGCTAATGCCTGCAGCCTGCTGAGCAAGTTAAGCCTTGGCAGGATCTCTAATTTCTTTTGCTTCTGATAAAGCAGAAAAAGATCTTGGGCATAAAGAGGCAGGCTGGATTAGAAAATGTTATCTATTGAATTTTTAAATTGCAAATATTCATCTGTAAAGCTTATTAATTTCTGCATAAGTTTTCCAGAATTAAGAAATTTTATGAAGCAACACTATTCAGCAAAGCTGTGAGACAGTTTACAGGCAAATGATGCACCCAAGCAATTAATCTAACTCTCAGTTTTCAAAACACTGTTTTTATCTTTTTTGACCTTTGTCTTTCTTAAAGACATTCTTGTGACTTCTCTGCATTGATTTTTAGCTTATAATAGAACACAAAACTTCCCCTTGTCCACCATGTCAGATAATGCCTCTGCTGATTACATTTTTAAATTATTCTATAACAATGCATATAATATTATTTCATCCTAGGATTCTCAGTTCTTCCATGTCTGCCACACTTCATAAAATCCTTCTTTGTCCTAGCTCTCCCTAAACCACTGGTCAAATAGGCAGATGCAGTGGCATTTAACTTGGTGCTGTAGTTCAAAAACTCAGTGTGCATGTCTTAAATAGGCTGCAAACTATGGAAAATTCAGTTTCTCTTTTGATGATTGCAAATCTCACCCTTTTTTTCTAATTTTGGCATAAAATTGATCTAAATATATCTATAAATCCCCAATTGAACTATTTTTGTCTTGTTTTGGGCAGGACAAATTTTTTCTCCTTTTGGGGAAAAGTAAAGGCAGTTCTCACCATCAAAAATATAAGGAAAATCCCTTCAGGAAAAAGTTACTACCTTATGTAGTAAAGGGGAGTTTGTTTGCTCACCTGCCTTTGCAAGGCACATTTAAGTGATGTTACTTGTCTTTTAGCAGCATGATTATAATTTCTTCATTCCTATGTTGTACAAAAATTTTTATTAATTTTTTTTATGCTTGGTGCTATATTTTTTTTCTCAAAACAACTATCATGAATCATAAAATACTGTGAGAAAAGTTTTTATGTTAATCAGCTGATGGAGCTAAGCAAATATGTATCCTCTGACTTCTTCCCTTCAGGTCAGGATTATATTTGGTTTATAGGAACAGCTCCTCATTCCCTTTCCAGGGATATCTCTGCTCACACTGCAGAGGTGAGCCTGTGCTTCAACTGACTCTCCCTGTAGAGCTCAGGAAAAATTTAAGTCAGAGGCAGAAACTGGTTTCTAACTAGAATGAAATAAAATGAATTATCTTTTCTATTTCTCTTCCAAGGAGGGCAATATTTTCTTGTGACATCCCTCTGGAACTGTGTGAATTGAGATGGGACAGGACATTTCTCTGTATTAAATCAAATAACTGTTTGCCTGAGCAAATCAATCTATGAAGCATCTCTAAAGCAGTTTACTAGGCCCTGATCCTATACTGTTGATTGATTTCAGTGAAAGATGTGAACCTTAAGGACATGCTTCTATGTGGAGTTATTTTGAGGAAGAAATAAATCTGTTGAATTGTTGGATAACTCCAAGTGCAGACCTGCAGGATAAAGCTTTTGATGGTTTGGATCCAAAGAGCTAAATAGAAGTGTTGATAGCAGGTTTCCCGGTGGATGCAATAAAAACTATTTACCCAGCCACAACCTTTTGTTTTGAATTTGGAGAGAGGACAGGTCCAAATACAAAGTAATAGTCTGTAAAATGGGCATAGTTTATCTTTCCACAGAACCATTGATAGGTAAACACCCAGCATTTAAAAATATTTTGCTTTTAGATTTAAAAGTGGTTTTCACCCCTATTTTATAATTGAGAAAATTGAAGCATATTGAGTTTTAGTTACTGGTTGATATCAGAAACCTGGAAAAGGGCAGATTAAAAATAACAGCTGGGTCTGGAGAGCAGTAACCTAATCACTGAATAATGTTGTCTTAGAGCTAAAAGCCTGGAGGAAAAAGCTGAAATGTCTTTCTTCTCAACTCTGTCTCTACCCATGTCTGCATATCAGAGTCACCGAGCTGGAAAAATATGAATGTTGCAGTGCAGCATGAATGAACTAAGTTGTCTCCTGAGCAGTGAGTGCATTTCCCAGCTGGGGAGGACATTGCAAAGCTTTTAGGAGTTTCCAGCACCACTTTACCGAAGCAAGATCCTCTTGAGGATGCCCTGGTTGAATGTTGCTTTTTTTTTTCTTTTTCTGTGTCTGAGGGACATAACAATCTCCTGTTTCTAGCACAGCCTTTGCCAGATCCTGTGTCAGGATGCATAAACAGAGGTCTCTGGTGCAACAGGAGGTGTTTTCAGAGCTGCAAGAGCTCCGACTGTGAGTGGGAAGGGTATTCAACAGCTTACACGCCTAGGTCTTTATTAGCTGAACAGGAAAATTTGCTAAAACCAATAGGAAGAAAAAATGCAACGAAGGGCAGATAAAATCAATGACCTCGTCAGTATGATGAGACTGCTGTTGTTTCCACATCATTTTGGTCCTTGCTTTGCTGCTTTAAAAATAAAAAACCCACCAAAACTGAAACAGAGCCACCCATCACACTGAACCCACACCTCCGATCCCTCTGCAGTCCTGATGTCTCAAACTAACTCACCTTTGCACCAAGTAATCAGAGGTTGCCTCCTGCCCCCAGGCTCCAGAGGAGGATACTGTGAACCTTGCTCTGCTTTGAGACAGATCCCAGCTTCTTCTCCAGCTGCATTTTGACATGAAATGGAGATGGTCAGATTGCCTTCTGGTGCCTGTCTGGGCCAGTAACCACTGATGGTGGCTGGTTTCTCTGGCAATATTCAGAGGTGATGTGCAAAGGGAAAGGAGTTAACTGTTTGACAAGGGACAGCTTTATTTACAGACTGCTGCCAGGCTAAAATCAGTTGAACTGCATGAAATGATGTGCACTGGTTTGTAAAAAGAGTTGGAAAGCCGTGACACTGATTGGCAGTGAAAACTCTATAAAGCAGCACACATCAATGGAGTAATTGACTGCTTCCCTCACATAAATGATTTTTCTCCTTGCCATACTCTTCATGCACTTGAGCAAGCTGTGCTTCATACTGAAGGAACATAGCAAACTTAAATAATTTTCTGAAAGCTGTGTAAGACATGAGACAGAGCTTGGGTGAGAGAGTCTTTAAAGATACTATTAGTAATACTAATAACAATAATTTAGTGAAAAAACACTGTCTTTTAAACTGTATAAGGAGAAAAACTTCCCTTACAGGAATTCAATCAAGCAAGAGGGCAGGACAGTGCTGACTTTGCAGATCTAATGCACCCATCTCCTTGCATCCATCTGCTTGCTCCAGTCCCAGAGCTGCTGGGTAGCTTGCTCAGCATCACTTCCTTGATTGTTGTTCAGTTGTTTCCAGGGATCTGGCATTTGAATTTTGGAAAACTAAAAATTCTTTTGTTAAGCTCCTGCTGACCTTGATTGTTAATAATGATTTCTCCAGCAAGTGTTGGCTTTGCTCCCCTTACAGGGAGGATCAGGTTTTCTTAAAAACCCAGCAGGAGTCTGTGCAACTTTTATATCTGAAGCAAGCATACATGCAGGGCACCTGCTGTGCAGCTGGGGCACTGCCCTCCAGCCAGGCAGAATTAACCTGCACTGCAAAATTAAAGGATAACCTTGAGCTTGGCAAGGACCTCAGAAAAGAAGAATTCTTCTCTCAGAACAACACCCTGCAATAAGCAGAGATAAGTCTGAGCCACAGCACCAGGTCTGGAGCCAAGCTGTTGTGTATTTTGGCCTGCTCAGAGGTAGGATTTCTTCATAAACCTCCCCACAACAGAAAACTTTGAGGTTTCTCGTTCACTCTTCTGGATTCATAATCCCAGGCATTCTGTTGTTGAGTGTGTTCACTTTATGGTTTTTCCTTGGTCTGTTGCATGCTAAGGGCCAGTGTGGGGTTTGGGTTGGGTTTTTTTTATTCAGTATTGCTTTAATCTTCAATGCTACCTTCATATGCTATTCTTATGGGCTTACACAAGACTTTGTGAGCTCCTGTCATCACAAAATTTAAGGAGGCTGTTGCATACCAGCTATGCAGCTACACTGTGGGATCAAAAAAAGGAGCCTGGTCCCTGTGAAATGTGTGGGAATGAAACCTTACTTAAGTGAAAGTATCTTTGAATGCTTTCCTAGATTCTTTCCATAACAACCATTGGGTTGTACAAGGCAAGGAGGTGGAAGTGTTCTCCCTTTGGAAACTTTTCCAGGGAGGGACAGGAGCGTGCACCAAGGAAGAAGGCAAAGAGCAGGTGGTGCAAGTGTCCTGCTGGGAGTTTCCCTCTGCTCCCTGTCTCTTGGTCTCTGCTCTTCAGTGGGACTCAGGACTCACAGCTGGCACAGATGCAAAAAAAACCACCAGCATCAAGGACAAGCTGCCAAAGATGACTGCTGGTGTCTGGCACTTCAGTGGGGCTTGTGACTGCTGAAGGTGCCTCTGTGTCCAAAGGGCTGAAGAGGATGTAACAGATCCATTTGCTCAGTGTGAAGACAGGAGTTCAATGACATGTTTCAAGGGATCACACTAAATACTTGATACTGCAGAAGATAATTAAGTTGTGTAGCAGTTTATCACAGGAGATGCCTGGATAATCAGGATTTCAAAGGCCTTTAAATCATGGTTTGTAGCCTAGCTGTATTTATGATCTAAAAGGAACTCCTGTGGATTTTTGATAGGCTGTTAGATTCCCTGGGGGAGCAGTCAGTTTCTGCCCACTTCCATGACACCTCCTCATTAGAAATGAAGTACTGACCTGGCTGCAGGCAGCAGGCTCTCTTGCTTTCAAATCCCCATCTGAAATTTCACAGAGGGTTAAAGCCATCAAGTGTTTAAGTGAGTGCCTTGATATGTCTCTTCCATTCACAACTTCTTTCCTTTGTCAATTATTCCCTCTACACTGTCTTCTCCTTGATCAAATCAGGAAACATTGTCTTCATTTCCTGTATGATTCCCTCCCATGTTATACTGGTTTCTGCAAGTGGAAAAACAGAGCAGCAAAACCTTATTTTCCAGAAGAGGAAAATAACTTCTGAGTGGGGCTCCTGGTTGCAGGGGACAAGACCAGATTTTCTGGGAAACTTTAAGCAAAAAAGCCCTAGGTGATGCTTAGCGTGCTTTTCAAACCAATCTTTCCTAGCTAGATCCCAGGATGCAACATCATGGGTGACACCAAATCTCCAAGACACAGCTGATTTTGTTGTCATTAAATGATGCTGGTTTTCATTCTTTCTGTCAGCAAATTGACTCAAATCCCTCAGCCACAAGTTAGGACTCAAAAGGATTTTTAGTAAATTAATCCATGCAGTCAATAAAGCACCTCCAATATATCCTGGGTGTTATACCTGATCCACTTGGATGCTTCCTGCACCAGCATATTACTTCTTCTTTTCTCTGTATCATCCTCTTGGTATTTTTTGAATTCCTGCCCTAGTCATGCACAGATGCAAATTTCTACCTTAGGTTTCCAGACCTGCATTAGCATATGTCAAATTTGTCTCGGTGACCTGGACCCTGAGAGCCCAGAGCATTGCAACCTGAGAGAGCAGGGACTGTCTGTTTGTTTGTCTGGAACATTGACCCAGGACCTTAGAAATCTTCTTTCCTCAGGATGACTTTTTTCCTAATTAGTGGCTGTAGATGAGGGTGTGTGCATACCCATATATGAAGAGAAGGGCAAACACAAACGTTTGTGCAGTTAGCAGCTGCTTTCATACAAGTGTATTTAGTATGTGCAGCTTGGAGCTTTCCTTCCTGCTTACAGACCTGTCATTCCCACTGGGCTCATGTATTTTAACACTGATTAACTACAGGTACCTTATGTGACTTTCTCTTCAGTCAATTATCTCCCAGATCCTGAATTAAGAAATTATATATTTACAAGTGTCATACTTTTCCTGTAAGAACAAGGAATACTGGAGAAAAAAATTGAACAGATAAATTTTTTACTCTTTTGGTATCCATAAGCCAGTCTGCTGAAATGAATGAACCCCTGTCTGTTAAATTCTGTCAAGATGTAAGGAATTAATAGTGTTATTTGAAGCCCATAAAATAAATAAGTTCTCAAACTCAGGACCCAGCTGCATCAACATGAAAAAGCTGTTGTACTTCATATGTCTTGCTATCATTTAAGCTTTTCTAAAAGTGGATTCAGTAATTGTTTCCTGCTTTCAAATAATATGGTTGAACTGTGAATTTAAAATAGGCCAAATTTAGCAATTCACTAATAAGACAATGCCAAGAACTCTGCATTTCAAACTCTCAGTTGCAGGAATGAAGCTGCAGTCAGAAATGTTTTGCACACTTGCATAGTCCTGCAGCTCCCATCTGTGTATGTGTAAAGCTTAGATTTGCAAAACACCCTGTTAAAAGCAGGGTTTCTGAGGTTCAAGCATCAAACACATATAAGGGAAGAAATGGCAGGATTAAGGCAGTCTTGTGCAGGTATAATTTGCTATCCACATCTTTCTTGCTGATGTATATAAGTTATTGTACAGTCTTTACCATACCACCTATTCCTTTTTGCCTGAGCTTTCTCTGGGAGTTAATAAGGGTTGTATAGTGAAGGAGAATAATAATAAAAATAATAAAAAAAAAAAAACAACAAAAAAACACCAAAAAAACAAAAAAAAAACCCAAAACAAAACAAAAAAAAAAAAAACAGGGGCCCTGCCTAAAAAAATTTTGAAGATATGGAAGTCCATAGAAAAATATTTTCATGAACCACAGAACCAATAAAAAAATTGTTTTCCATGGTTTCCAGCCATTCATTCCTTAAACTCCTACCCCTACTTCCGTAACTTCCCTATTTGCCTAAGCAAATGTCTGCATGTTGTGTCTGAGCCCATTCCAGGTCCCCAGCTCTACCCAAGTGTGCCAAATTTGAAGAGTATTAATTGTCTTTGACATCACTGACCTTCTGTGAAACTGGGTTGAAACTGCCCAGCAGGTTCATATGTTGTTAAGGCAAAGAGGCAGGTGGGTGGATGGATGGATGGATGGATGGATGGATGGATGGATGGATGGGTGGATGGATGGACGGAAGCTTTGACTGACCTCAATTTTATTAACCTTTTCAATTATCTGTAAAAATAAACATTATCCCAAATAACACAGTTTTGCTTATACAACAGATTCCTGTGAGGTAATAAATTTGAGTCAAGTTTTTCATAGACAGTTGCATATTTGTACTCTTGATTTTTCTGAGTGCCTTGTTTAAGGAAGTGCTACAGCATTTTATTTGCAATCAAAGGGACAGCATAATGTTAAGTAGTCACAAAACATCAGACCTATAAAATCTGAAATTAGGCCAGAACGTGGTGATGATTCATCAAGATACTGTAGGGATGACTGCCAGGGATAACCCCTGTTAATTTATAATGTTCCTTTTACTAGGGCTTGGCTGGTGAAGTTGAGACCTTGGAGCTTTATGCTAAGCAAGAATAAAGCAGTCTATTGAATAGCTGCTCACTCATTCACTTCTGTCTGGACATGTTCCAGATGAGGTATGTTCCTATAAGTAAAATAATTTGTCATTGTAGCTGGAAATAGCACCATTCTGAACACAAGGCAATTATGGTATGAATGGAAGAGGGGAGAAGCAAGAGGCTGGACGGTCTTAATTCAATATTCAAATTCAAAGTATTTAATTTGATACTGAAAAAAAGTTCCTAACCAACAAACATTGTTCTTATACATTAAAGAACAAATATAAAGTGAATATTTTTCAAAAGCTTGTTTCTTGTGACTCCTATTATTAAAGACTTCCAGCAAGTGATCTATATATAAGTTCCAAACAGAACAAATTTTGAAAGGCAGCTGTCATAAATCCCCAGAGCTGGGGAGAAAGGAGGGAGCAGGAAGGGTAACCATGATCTAGTAAGTCATTTTTTGGCCACAAAAGACCAGACCTGCATTGATTTAAAAAAAAAAAAAAAAAAAGAAAAAAAAGTCCCAACTGAAACCCCAAAACAACAAACCCTAAAAGACTTCATCATGTTACAAAAATGGGCTTAATAATACAATGCATAAATACATAAATACAATATATGCCAGCAGGTCCCAAGATGACAAAATAAAAAAGGATTTTCAAATGATGGTTCTGTCCTCCAGAACTCAAAAACACATTTTAGAGACAAATAGACAAATCTTAGTTTTAAAATGAGGCCTTTTTTCATGCTGACAAGCTCATTAACAAAGAAAAAAATATATTGTTTGCTGTCTAACTGACCATGGCACCCAAAAGAAAGAAAAAATTAATGCCAGATGAAAACTTGAGTCCAGCACATTCAGAAACAGCTAAAGGAGTGATACTTCCTAACTGTTCCAATTACTGTAGGACTAGTGTTGAGGATTTACACATCAATTGAGTCTCAGTTTCTCCTATGACAGCCTCAAAAATCACTGATTCTCTTCTCTGCACCCTTTGTGGTACAAATGATAACAAGGATTATATGGATATCTAACAAATCTGTTAAGATTTGACATAGTTTGGTGATCTACCCACGCAGAGAAACTGGTCTGTCCCTTTACCAATGAGGCAGGAGAATCCATTCCCTTTAAAAAGAGCAAGTTGAAACAGAGCTGATTTGCAAATTTCCTCTTAGCAAGCCACGAGTGCATGTCTATGGTCATGTGAGTCATTTCCAGCAAACCTGGAACAGCTGGAAGAAGAAAACAGAAACAGGGATCATATGATTCACCCTCATATGAACTCAGAGAAAAAAAAACAGAGGTAAAGTTCACAAGCTCCAAAAAGTAAGAAAATTGGAAGAGTTGTATTAATAAGCCTGCTCTTTGCCCTCTTGGTAGCAGAAATAATGGGGACTGAGAAAGATTGATCAAAAGATTAGGATTTAATAAATTTTATTACTGGTGTTGGTAGTGTCAAAAAGTTACTGACAAAAATTTTTCAGTATAAATTTTAGAAGGAGAAAATACCAGCAGTATGCAGAGCCAAATAAAACAACTCATCCATCAAACTGCAAAAATCCTGCGTCTGCATCCTTTACCCTTTAAACAATGTTTTCTTCCTTTGCTGATTTATTTTGCTTTTGCAGAATGACTCCTGTATTCTGCTGTAGAATTTTACTCTTCCCCTAGAAAAAAACAGCAGTGATCTAGCAGGCTTCAGGGTCCGGGATGACCCTACAGAGGTACGAGCATGTCCTGCGTGTGACAGAGGAACCTTTAACCTGGTACTGCTGACTGTGTATGCTACACCTCCTCATGTTTACAACAAGCAGAGGTGAAAACAGTGGGATCCATTGGTCCTTACTCCTTCTGCTCCTTACTCCTTCATCATTCAGGTCTGATGCTGTTGGAGGAGCAAGCAAACGGGCACAGAGGTTTAACCATGAACTCTACATTGATGACATCAAGATCCACAGCAGCTTTAAGGAAAGTAATTCCCTTTCTTGCTCCCATGCTGGTTTGTATCTGCACAAGCAGATGCTATCTTTATGTGGGTGCAAATGAGGAACCCTTGGTGCATCAGCCCGTCTTGCACTGCTGCTTCTCTGAGCTGGCAGAGTGATAAACAGCAGAGTTCAAAGTACAGCTCTTTCGGAGGTCAGTGGCTTGAATCAGATCTTGGCCTAATCAGTTTTTCATATTGACACTCTTTGAGATAAGAGAGAAGATGCCCCTGAACTTTGATGTCTGGTAAAAGACACATGCCAGGCAGTGGATTATACAAAGAAACATTAATCTCCACTGTTTTGGACTCTGGGATAAGATAGCCAGGCTGCAGTCAGAACAAGATAAGGCCCCTGTCTGAAAGCTTGGCTTATCAATATAGTTAGCAAGTTATTTTGCCTACAAGTAATTAATGTAATTCCAGCTGATTATTTTGTTTATAATTTTCTGTTTTGCAGGGAGTAGTCCTTATCCATAGTAAGGCAGAGTTCAGTCACAATTGCAGGTGCAGGGGTTTGAGCTATGGATAAAGTACTACATCACGAGATTGAGTTTAGGTCCTTGTCTGAGGGCTGGATCAGAGACTGTAAGAGTCTGTATTTACTACATCCAAAAGTATCATGGCCTGTCTTAAGCTGTAAGAGTGATGCTGGCTTTGTCCCACTTGTTTAATGGAAAGGGCACTGCAGAGCACTGATTTTATGAAAAGCATGTATAAAACAGGATCTAGGACCAAAGTCAAAGAAAGTCATCTGATCTAATAGCTACTGCAATTGATTCAATACTCCCTGCATATTGGCCCTCTACAAAAGGAGTTTTCATTGGGGAATATGACACATGTTGAAAGTGAGTCTTACCCAAAATCATTTTATCCAGCCTCAGCTAAATAATGCTTTACAGGGCAATCCAAAGAGTAATTCAGCAGATTCAGTTTGAGCCCAGCATCTGTTGATTTGGAGCCACACAGGAAAAAAACCCTTCATATAACATGTTGCTTGTAGGATGAACAATCAATAAGAAGAAATGTGATTATTAAAACCCGGGGAAGTAAACTGCTCAGTGCTGAGCAAATGGTTGGAGAGTACACAAAGATACCTAGCAGCATTTCTTGGAGACACAAAATAAGATTACCAAGACAAAATGAAGAAAGTTAATTCTTAAAGATAATATTCAGGGTAAAATATTTAGTGTTTTTACTTCCGTTTCTTAAGTCTTGGAGATTCATAATGATGTACAGGAATGTACCTTAGTAACTATGTAGTTTGCAAAAGAATTTTTTTGAGTTTTGCTTTTAAACAGTAACTTTGTTTCCAGTACTTTAATGGCTGTGTACATTTAGCCATAATCAACATGAATTTTCCCCTTTAAATATTATCTGCTTTAAGAGAAACACTGGGGTGACTTTGACAGGAGTAAGGCTTATTGATTATCTTCCACACCACACTCACTCTTCCACCTGTACATGGGAAGTATTCAGGCCATGCATTTCCCAAGGCATCCTGGAGGCCACCTTGGCCTGCCACCAGGGCAGTTTGCTACCATGAAATTGCACCATTAAAACCATTAAACAGCTACACTGCTCACTGTGACCCCAGTAGTCTAATGGATGTCAGCAAGTGTTTTGTTTACTGCTTTGTTCACAGACAGTAATAATCTGGAGATGCTCGGTTTCATAATCTGCTATATTTGGAACAACTAGCTTTAAATTAGTTTCATACTGACAATCAACAAGAAAAATTATTTCAGCTTCCCCAGCACTTGTTCTTAGCAGCAGAAGTCACAATGAGAATATGGATTTTGTCATTGTACACAAATCCTAAGTATATCTGAGAGTCTCTGGCCTGGGATATGTTTTTTGCCAAGTCTTGAGGAATGGGTTGAGAGTCTGTACCATGAAAAACAAAGTTTTGAGAATAAATCTTTCTTCTAAAGTGTTAGTCAGTGGTCCTCTGACAAGATGCAAGGTGTTAAAGGGACATTTCAATGACCAAGTGTCTTCAACCTGTCACAGGCTCTAAAGAAAGAGGCAAATCAACTACTTGTGGATGCTGTTCAACACCAAGGCACACACAGACACCAAGGACATGAATATTCAGGGAAGGTGATCTTACTGGTCCAGAGTTCATGCAGGCTCTCAGTGAGATCCATGCTTTGTATTTAATTCCTAATGGTTTAAATTTCAAGCTGAATACTAACTTCAAGAATCAGAAGAAAGTGAAGTGCACAGAAGAAAACTAAAGAAATAGTTTTGAATAAAGCAACTTCATAGGGATTTTTAAGTGAAAACGTATTTGGTTGGTATGACATTTTAAGCTGGTTTTACCCACGTTTTACAAATGCAAAAAAAAAAAAAAAGGCAAGTGCAACATTGTCTATGTCTTTATATAGTATGTATTGTGTACATACGGAAGGATGTGCATCTACATGTACATATACTCATATCACAGAAGAATCTAAATATCCAGTATATGCTCCAGTGTTTCAAGGGTACAAACTACACAACAAAATAGTTATGCATAAGCAGGGACAATTTCACTTGTTCTGTCATTTGTGCTAAATAATTGTTGATAGATGCACTAATACAGTGAGACACAACATTTTTGCTTATCGTTTTCCATTTCATTTTTACATTACTCTACCAAATAATTTACTCTTTGCTTCTCAAACCCAGAGTAGTAGTGCACAAGAGCTGCTTGGTCCTCATTTTACTATCCTAGGTATTTCTTCTAAATTAAGTTTTCAGATAATTTGCAGAAAGAAACTGAGATAACATACAGACACACTTTGTGGGGGGGAAAAGTGTTGGGTAGGGGGATGATGTGCATCAAGCCAAGCAGATGCAGAACTGTTCTGGCTACAGAAAGGGGAACCTCAGGTTTCCTTGGGAAAACACCCTGCCATTCCTCCATGCTGTCACCTTTAAAAGAATTGCTGACAAAGGCGGGGTTGTTGCAATTAGCACAATCATTATGAGGTGACATTTATGAAGTGTCACCTCCTGAGAAGGAGCTCTGATACCAGGCAGGGATGAGCTTTCAAAATTTTCATGAAGTGCACTTGGCAATGTGTGAACTGGACTGTCTACAGTGTATTCCACTTGCCATGTTTGGCAGGGTGGTGAAGATGGAAGGGGAACTATGATAATGATTTGAGCTTAGCAGTATCCTGGGGTGAGCAGTAGAACCTACACAGAAAACAAATGTTTTCTGAAGTATCAGAATTACTCTGTGGGTGACTTGACTCTGTGAGTTCAAAGGACATGAAAAAATTCTTCACACACATCCACAGATGCAAATAAGGACAATCTGTGGCTAAATGAGCTGTTCTCCCCACCCCAACCCCCTACCCCTTGCCCAGTATTTTTTCAGGAAGAATATACAAAAAAACCCTGACATATGGCAACTGTCATGTCTGGGCTTGAATTTTTCCTCCCTTTTGTACTTTGAAAGGTTTAAACCAGCTCTGCACATTTTTCACTAACAAATGACTCCTACAACCCTGCTGTTCTGCCACAATCCATCGGTTTCGTGGGGTGCTGCACAAATACATGCATTTGTTCTTGTCATAAATCCACTGCGCAGTTTGCCTTCTTTCTGTGATGTTCTCCAGGAGACCTGTACACTCACTTCCAGACTGTGATCTACAAGCACAACAGAGCTTTGAGGGCCTGCTGGACCCACACTAATTTAATTGTTTAATTGCACAATTGTTGATCAATGTTCTTCTACCATATGCCTCTCTCTTTACCCCCAAGCACGTGTAAGTAATCATCAACACACCTCTAAGCAGTGTATCCTAGAAGAGCTACCATGCATTTCTTCTGCAATAAAGGAGCCAGGCTGACTGATGATATGCATTATGGTGTTACCTCCAGCAGAAATACTATGGGAGAGGTGAGCACAAAGAGCTACGGAAGGGAAATGAAACGTAAAAAAACCTTGGGAAATACCTGGCAGAGAAACAATGACAGAAAACAAGGTTAGAGAGTTACAGGTGAAATTCGAGCCAGCAACGTGATGCCAAACCCAGGAAATGGCATGTAAATGTCATGAAGAAACACATGGAGATAATTACCCTGCTCCCCTCCTCCTGTAGAGCCCTCTGGAGGCTGGAGGTGTGTGCTGGTTTAGGTGTGTGACGGCTTAGGTCACCTGAGGAGGCTGTGAGAGAGAACAGCAGAAATCAGAGGTTCAGAAAATAGGAACTACAAATAGAGGTTCAAGCAACTGGCTGGTTTTGGCCCTATTCAAGAAAATTCAAGTGAGATGTATTTCTTCTGATATAAAAAGGGCTATAGATAATGAATCAATAAAACAGTTGCTGTGTAATTGTCACTCTGCTGAGGAAAATGGCAAAATTAAGTCAGTTAATTTGCAACAAAAGAGAACTCAGCTAAATAAACAACTTTGGAGATTTATTTTTGGGTCTGGTTACAAAGTATATTGATTTAGCCTGAAAATTAGAAGACTATGCCTTATAGTAAGAGTAATGAAGTCCTTCAATAACCTTCTACTAGGAAGAATGGAGGTAAAATTATTAAGCTTACTATTTGCAAGATGTGCTTTAAATCCATTCTTTTTTCCCCCATGCCTGCTACACGGCCTTTACAAAAAGCAAAAAAGAAGTGTTATTTAACTCTTCAAAAAAGATAAAGACATAGCAGAACAGACGTAACTTTAAGTGTAGCAAATCAGAGTGCTGATCTTACATAATTGTTCATCTTTCTTTTTAGATATGTATATGAACAAAGTCTCTTCTAACCATACATACACAGGCCACACAAATCTATGGGCAGTGTTTTTCCCACAGACAACAGGTAGAATATTATGCCTTTTTCTGTGTTGTCAAGTATTCCTATGGAATTGTATATTCTACATTTCTGTTTTATGGAAACAACGTTGACATTAGAGCAGAAAACATTTTTTCCTAATGCAGCCTTAGATTTTTATCCCTTATGAAGCCGTTGGCTGATTGATAAAGATTTACCACATTTCATCTGTATTGAAATCTCACAGCCACACAGTATTAAGATTATAGAGTTATAAAATTTTCCTTCCATCTCTCCTTTGCCCCTTTGGCTGTTGCCATGTATTGCTGTCCCACAGTGCTTCAGTCCAATGTAACATTTTGTAGGGAACAGCATTCCCAGGTCCTTTATAGCACAATCCAGGGTTTATACCACATATGTGGTCTTTAAGAACCAAAGTCCAGCTGGAAAGCTGGGAAGTACCTCCAAAAGTTAAACAAGGATGTTTTCTTTCACTGAATGTCTAACCTACCTGCTAGCAGCTGTGTTTAAAAGTGCTGTCTCTGGCTGGCCCACACTGAATGTTTAAAGGCAATAGCAGCACTTACAGTTCGAGGTTGAGGCATGCCACATGAGCTTTGCATGCCACAGATTAAGACCCTGGAGGAAGGTAAAGGACTTTGCTGGTTTCTGCCATCTGTCCCTGGAAGGTGTCCAGCCAGGAAGGACACTCCTGTGCTGGTGCTCCAAACTCCATAGAGGAGGTATCACAAAAGAATAGGCATGACAGTGACTACATTATTATTTTGAGATAATTTAAGTAATAGTTGCTGCTGAAAGAGATGGTTGCTACCCACCCCTCTGCTCCATGATGTGCTTTGCCCAGGACTCCTTGCATTCCCACTCGCATTCATGTATTCTCATGCAAATGAGATCAGGGGGCTGCTCTGCCAGGAACTCCAAAAAAACCCCCTTAGTTCCCAGCCAGATCACTTTTTGCTCTCCCTCACACATTAATGCAATGCCAGTGCAAAGCTGGGAGCAGCAACATCTTCTGTGGTGCCAGGGGAGTGTGAGATCACACATTTCAGCTGCCGTCTGCATCTAGACTGGCTGAAAAATGCCATGAAAATGCAGCCTAGTCTGTCTGCTGGTATGCCTCAGGTTATTTGGATGAACATGGCAG